CGAAAAACATACGGTAAACACGAGTTTTCCTCAACTCTTTTAAACAAAATAATACTCATGTGAACGCTCGCGTGTCCATATGAGTAATATTTTGTTTACATCAATGAAACGGCGAAATTAAATCCAGCGAAGTTTCTATTAGAATGCTTGTTTCATCGGAAAAGCTTTGCTGAGGTTTGAATATGATAAGTAAATCCTATGTTTTGATGGCATGTCACCAAGTGATCAATTAACACGTTTCTCTGGTTAAGGTGGACGCGTGCTAGACCCTATTTTATATGCATTTCAGGTAGCTAGCAGAAGAACCAACACCTGTTGGTTGCAACATAATTTTATCGCTGAATCATTTATGTGATCAACGATTCCGTTCAGTTTGCCCAGGAAATGACTATCCAGCGTCAATTTAGCCTCATTGTCGGTGGGTGATTGTGCTTTCCAACACTGCGTATGAATGATTTGTTCCTTGCAACCTCAGTCTAGCGCACTTTTCAGGAGGTTGACGCCTTTTTTGGATATTTTGAACGAGATGAAACAAAAGAATCTCTTCGCACCTTGTCGGTGAGAGTCCTAAAGTTTCGCAAGCGTTCCGGTGTGCAGAGCACATTGTATCTTACGGTATTCAGTCCGAGAACCGTTCCAAAAACCAAAGCTCCAGTTTAATTCGTTTTAGAATTTTTAGGCCACAAAGTGAAACACTGAGTTTCAAAGCTGACACGGTATTCGCTCAATTAAAGCTCATTTGCTGTTGATACGTCTATGTGAATTTAGAAGGTTTCATATACTGCAAGACGTTGTAACATTGCAGTATAACTGTAATAATTATGTAACGTTTTTGATCTTGGGTTTCTTGGGAGAGTTCTGATCATAGTTTCGAATAAGTGGGATAGATTGAATGGATTATCAATAGTAAATTGTGTGTTTGAGTGTCCAATCGGAAACATTTTTGTTCCGACTTTAGTCTTACTGATTAATATGTGCAAAAATATTTTGATAGTACTCTTTGTTCCGACCTTATCGGTTAAAGCAGGTTCAATAGCGAGCCCAACCTATCGGGGTCTTATGTGGTTCGTCACTCCAAGTCCCGGGGCTTAGGTTGCCGGTTTCCACCACTGAACAGCAGGTCTTCGTGTCTATGGGGTTCCCCCCTCTGCTGTTCATCTCAGTAAGGTGTGTAATCTAAAGAGGTATACTCATTACCCACTTTGCCCATCCGCATTCACCGTTTGAAAAATGTGAGTTTGGCAGAGAAGCCAGGTTAACTTCACTTAATTTTGCTGTACAATGACGAAAAGAAATGGTATGCTACCAAAAATCTACTCTTACGCAGCAAAAGTATACCACTGATGGTCACCAGCGGATCTTTTAAGAGTCCCTCGAATGTGCTAAAGGGTGACTTTGTGTGTTTCGTCAAGGGTTGTGATACAATCAGGGTCCGGTCGAGTTAAGGAGAAAAAGAGAATGTTTCTTGATGGACTAATGTCAGATTTTACAGACTTATGCAGCCTAATCTTTTGGTTAATTCGCAAAAAAAGCCATGAGCTAGACAAATAGTGATCTGGAAGTCAGCGGAGTGGTGTGTGGAAACCACAGTCTCTTGGTATATTTATTTTATGCACGTCTGGGGTCAGACTGTGCCAACAAATCTTAGTACAATAATATTTATTAAAAAGAAGAACGTTCCATCGTTTGCATATGGGACGAATACTGCCAGGTTGATTAGGTTAAGAAAGATGAATTTTCTTGAGGAATCCATAACCAGAGCCTTCGGCTATCCAAAGCCTGACCCGCAAGGCAGCGGGGCCGTGGGGAAAACCGCAATATATTAAAGGACGGTGCCCAGTTCATCGAGTCATACACCCATTGAACGGGGTAAAACGTCCATGGTGCCCAAAACACCTGTATCTCCAAACAAGCCTGTGATGAATGCCTAAATCAATAGGGTTTATGGAAGGGGTCATACACCTCTTCTTGATCGATTTGAATCAGGGTCTTTACTATCCCCCTAGTTGAACTGCAGTTTTTTCATCGACTCAGATCTATCCCCAAATTGTCGTTTGAGCACCTCAGTTTGTGCCACGTCGGACGTGCATGGTGGGATACCGGACAATCATTGCTTAGATTAGGCGCAGAGTTTTAGGTAACAGCAGTCGTCCACTGGGTCTAGTGGTCGATCTCCATAGGCTACGGTGGTTGGGACATTATTGCGCATGTCAACAAGGTTACCATGGCGTGCAGCAGATTAAAAAAGATCAAAGGCGGTCAAACTGAGACCTGGCATGAGGGTATGAAAACCCTAGCCAGGACACTGGGTCAAATAGTTACTGTCAGGCTCCGTTGGTGGGGACCCCAAAATTATGGTAACTGATATGGCTGGGTGTCGCAAACAACGGCGCTCGTGCATTTATCCATTGTCTTTTCAACCTTAGACCATGCAAATTCTCTATCTTTTTCACTCTACTTGCAGAATTTCATTCTTCCGTTTACCCTTTTATCCCATTGGACACCTAGAAGACAGCAACGAAAAATAGGGGATGAACATGCATGGCTATTGGTTGTAAAAACTGAAAACTGAATATTTATTCAGTAATTGACTTATCGTTTTCCTACTTTGGAGCAAAACACCTCTACAGTAGCTCCATGAAACGCGTGATAGTATAGAATTTCGTTAGGTGCAAGGGAAAGGTGACCAGCCTCAACCAAAGACCCCCATACCATACTAAGGCTTTAGGAGGCGCGCACGACATAGAATAATCAAACTTGACAGACGGATACTAGGAATTTTGTAAAAAGTGAGATATGAAAAAACCTCCGCCAGTTTTGGTGCTGCAGTTTAGATTCATATTATATATATATATATATATATATATCAAACACATACACAATTCCTAAATGCTGTAATACTTTCACATAGAATAAAAACATGTATTCGCTTCATATGTTACATTTGCACTGCAGGATATACTTCAGTATCATAAACTAACACACTTATTTCATATCTATGGTTCTAGGATTGTTCATCCGAGGAGCACCAGCGGGATGGAGATTGCTTATCCTGGCTGAACCCTTTGATTCCAGATTCAAATTCCACTCCCTTGGAATTTTCGGAACAAGAGCACATCGCGAATGTGGATGATCTTATTCGACCGTCACCAAATTTCTTCGACGATGTTGTAATTCATCCGTCTAGTTCAGCTCCAACTGCCTGTTCTTACGAGTACAGAGCATCAGAAAACTTGTCCTTCCATCGTAGTTTAGTTGATAAGCCCGTCACTGTGTCCAATGATTCCATGGCAATTTCTTCCATGCCTCCAACGAAATCCAGGCATTACGATGAAGAGGATTACAAAAGTAAAACAGAAAGAATCATTTTATTTTATTTTATTTGTTAAAATTCAGAATGCTGCGGTGTATTTGATTTGTATTAATTTTGAAAATTTTATCTGGATCGTTCTCTGTTAAAAATCCTTATACACTGAACCAAATCGTGGTTAAAATCGTACTATTTGTCCTCTATTCTACAATATGCTTGCATTGAAATTGGGTTGACTGATGTGCACCTGATGGTTTTCAGATCGCATTGCCAGGGTTTTGAAAAACACCTATTCAGGGTTTATCGCAACTGCCCTTTCCAGTTATCCACTTGAGTTCCCTCTTACAACCAGCTGGCTGGTAGAATCCGATACGTGACCGGAATCAAGAAGAGATAAAGAAAAAAATAATCTCTTCACGTTGTGATGGATGGTTGTGAAAATGAGTTTTCATGAATGAATGTTGTATTCAGTGATCCTTGTTCGTCCATTGTCTTTCCTGAAAGCTTATCAAATTTATTATCATTATCTTAGTAATCATTTCACTCTTTTGTTCACCGTTTTTGGTTCACCAGATCTGTTGGTAAAACACACCGACCACAAAAAGGGATCAGGAGAACAGAGACCGTCGTTTGAATATCCACCTATCTACCTTAATAGGCTTTTGTCCACAAATGTCTCACGAGTGTCAAACAGTCTAAACATTCGACTTTCGATCTGTAGAAATGTTTGATTACGTTTGATTATCACATGCTAAAGGACTCTCAGAGGTTTGTCATCCTTGGTAGTCTTCAAGCAACAAGAACAATGTCTCAGAATACCACTGAAAAATTGAATGACACTAACGAGCGAGTCCGCGTCATGATCTGAAAACAAATCAGAGGATCACTTCAAGACGAGAAAGTACAGCTTTCGTGCTAGTTAAACAGGGAAGTAGGATTAAAAAACGAGGATACCAGATACTAGGATAATAACTTACGTAAAGAAACCTCGTATAATGCAGTGACCGATAAGAAGTTTACAAGCCGAGTGCCCAACTTGGATGATAAACTAATTTAGGTTTATTTAACTACTGCAAAAAAAGAAACAATTTTCTCGTCCCAAACTCTGGGTAAATCATTCGCGTCTCACTGGATCACAAACGGACGCACATATTGACTTTTATTCCGGGTGTATTATCGAACAAGGTAATAATATCTAGCGTAATTATTGGCGCTCCAAAGTTTTAGTTCGCTTGTTATCTAAGAAGCGAGTCCGTTGTATATAGCAGAATCAGCATGAGATAATGTCGTTTTAATGGCAGTTTGAGTTTGAGTATTTCACTAGTACACCATAATGTTCGACGTGATTCCCTATTCATGGAATCTAATGAGGGGGGAGGGGGGAGATTTAGTGAAAAATCTTTCGGCATTTGAAACTTTTAGTTTTTCTTTAAGATATTGTGATGGATGAAAATTCGTTGTACGCACACCCTTTGATCCGGCTTGATTCCTTTTGATTAGGTTGTAAAACCACGGAATAGTCATTAAGCAGATATTCTTCTCCGATTCAATCAGCCAAACGCCCCCCTCCCCGAACTAGTGCAGATGGGCCGCTTTTATTAACAGAAACAGTTCAAGAGCAGCTGCAAAGGACTGTGATGGCGAAGTGGTTAGGTCACCAACTTGTGACCTGGAAGTCCCGGGTTCAAACCGCCCCACCCCCACCCCCACCCGTCTTCCCAGGCAGCCTTTGTATGGACGCGGTCTCCTTCCTGAATGTTGACTGTACATTTATATATTCAATAAATACAAAAGGAAGAAACAGCCAATAATATGTATAAACTCAAGACATGACTGTTGTCTTTCGGACAAAGAAGAAACTGTTGTCAGACGTGCAACTTAACTCCATACATCTGTTCCTGGGAAAAACCACAAATGTGACTAGTTCAACCAAGACACACACCTACATATATGTTCATAGACCTAATGAATGATTATTGCACGACCTTCGGATATATTCATTTGACTTGATGTTCTTTATTCGCGTAACCAAACATTTTATTTTTCATGATTGTGAAATACTCTGTATTCCGTTTTTGTTGTGCGTTATGAGCAGTTTTAGGTCTTAGGATTATCCTGATTACAAATACGCGGCTTCTGGCAGGAATTGAGATACACGTAACTCTGATCAATCCCCCATGTACCACAGGTCATCGACATCTCATCTATCCTCGTGTGCACCAACCTCTTAAAGCCATGGAACCTCGCACCCTGCGTCGCGTTCGTGAACGCTTGCTAGCCCTGCGGGCAGCCTTGAGGCCGACTGATGATGATATAAAGCCTAATAACTCAGGCGCATCACAAATTCAGCACGACTTGGTTCGCTCCTGCGATTTCTCCGTTCCACCTATTCCCCGTTCGCCTAGTACAGCACCAATCGTTGATCCAGAGAGGCGATTAGTCAATCAGGAAGCGTCTGTTATTCGTTGCAACGTGGAGGCCAGCTCTGAAAATCATCTTGATCCATCAAGCCCATCTCTTGCCGAAAAGGCTTGCGCAGTTGGCCAGGCATTGAAAAGTCGGCAGTGCAAAGCCAATCCTTGGTCCGCACCACAACCAAGTTGTAGTGATGTGGTTCCCCATCGGGACACTGAAAACTTGTCCGTTAGCAGTGCTATATTCTTCGTCGGTGGAATTTCGGGACAAAAATATCCGACTCCGGGTTCGATTTATTCTACCTTTGAATTGACCGGTGCAGTAGAGTCTCATACTGAAGAGCATGTGAATCCTTTGAAGAAACATAGCTTGAGGTATCGAAGAAGGTAAGTGTTCAATCTTTCCCGAAAGCTTTGTCAGGGTTTCGATTATTGTAAACTGAAAATGTTTCAGTTGGTTTGTTAGCGTATAACAAACGAATAATGGTTCCCAAACAAATCATAGTACAATAATCTTCGTAAAAAAAGAAGAGCGTTCCGCGATTTGCATGTGGGCTGAATACTGCTAGGTTGCCCAGGCCAAGGCAGGTGAATTTTCTTGAGGAATTCACAACTGGAGCCTTCGGCTGTCCAGAGCCTGACCCGCCAGGCAGCGGAGAGGTGTGGGAAAACCGCAATCCATTGGGGGCCAGTATCCAGTTAATGGGATCATACGCCATTTGGGAGGGGTCAAACGTCCGAGGTGCCCGTACACCTCTATGCCCAGTCGAGCCGGTGACCACTTCCACAACCAGGAAATTGTGTGGTTTGTACGCCTTCTCTTGATTGGTTTGGAATCAGGGTTTTAACCAACTCCCTTAGGTGAACTGCCGGTGGTCCACCAACTCGGTTATAGCCCCGGATGTCGGCTATTCGTCTTCTCATTTTGTTGGAAAAACACCTCCGCCACGGAAAGGCAGGGAGTAGGGCTTCCTCAGCAGATGCTATTTGAAACGCTTGGTCGTATGGGAGCGTTTTGTAAGGTGCAAGGGAAAGGTGACCAGTCGCAACCCTGGACACTCACTCCCGATCATACTGATGCTTTCGGGGGCCCAATACTGCTGTGCAAGCATCGCATCCGAGTAAATGAGAAATTAGATGAATAAACTTAATTCTTTTGTTTAGTTTTCTCAAAGGTGATATTTTAATTTGACAACCGATCTTTGTGAATTTTTCAAGAATTTCGAAAACGGTGGTTGTTCATTTGCCTAAATGTCTTGGCTATACTTTCCAGAGCAAACACGTTATCATTTGATGTGAATTCCCATAGTTTCCCATATTAATTGGAATAAGCCTGTCCGTAAGTAGTGTCACTTTTATCACATAGTAAACCTTTAACTTAGTGGCACTCAACCTGTTTACAACTCCTAATCCTTTCGTCACTAATAGCCTCTCAGATCCTAAGTTACTTATGAAGGTGCAAGATCTGGGTCTTATAGGGTGTCACTTTTAATTTTGGTACCAAATAAACTCGGATTTGGTATAGGAGGGCTACTAAGTTGCCGAGGAATGGTCCCAATAGGTCACATTACCGAGTTATGGTGAAAATGATAGATCCTCTTATGAAACTACAGAGGTATTTGCTTGGTTAACAACGCCTTAAAGCTTCTTGCTGGCATTGTAGTCTGTCGGTTGTCTGCGGCACACGGACGGTACGCGTGTGGCCATCTGGCTGGTGTGAAACCGGATCATGGATGCTCTGACCATATTTTACTTTTCGCCAGAAAATTATTCTTTAGACCCACCGTTTCTATCTTCGCTGATCTAAAAACCATTTTCGACTCAGCCGGTCGCTGGCTACTGTGGTGCTGACTTTCATTGACCGATGTGCTGGGTAGTTTGTTTAAGAGTTATGATTGTTGCATGCAAACAACCGAATCCTAATTCAAACTTACCGCTTTTTCTCACCCGAGTTCACCACAAAGAGCGGTATGCTTAAGGGCCTCCCTATCCCTATCGGTTGAGTGCTAGTGTGATCATTTCGTGTGGTTTGCACTTACAACATGTAAAATGCTATTGCAGACGTAATTTGGTTCGGTTCCCATTTCTACTCTAACAAAAGACATGTGTAGCTATTTGGGAAGTCAAATTTCACCTCGCATTTCACCACTGAGATGTTCTGTTTTTCGTGAAGGGTCAAATGCTTGCTGCAACTGTCCGACCGGTTCTCCGGTACGATGCAGAGAGATGGAAGAAGACTATACTGGTGTTTGCACTGTGTCTGATGGATCAAACCCAATATGCTGAGGTTAAGTGAATAATTTCGGATATCATGGTCATGCTATTCAACTTGCTTGTGGATCAAAATGTGTGAGACGAGTTACACATTTCACCAGAGATAGAAATTCTCGGTTTGCATTGTTTGTGTGGCAGAGAGCCAAATGCGTTGAAACTAAACTGGGTATGAGGATACGAATACCCTAATCAACGGACGTGGGCATTTAAGTCGCGCTTTGTTTCCTATTTTGGGGCCCCGTAATCGATCAGCGGTTAGAGGAACTGAATGATGTGTCCGGATGTCGTCAATAGTGACGCTCATTCATCTACTCACTGTCTACGCCCATCTTTTTCACTTGCTTTATTTCTCTTTATTTGGGTATTAATCTTAGTTTTCATTTCCTCTTCTCAATTCTTCCTCTGTGGTTAACCAAATTGGTAATCAAATGAATCCACGAACAGTCTCGCACATCCATGCAAGATGTATGGTTGTCTAAACTGAACTGTCCAAACAGGTTGCAATAGGGCAGTATTCGATTCCGAATTTCGAAAGTGCTAGTTATTGCTTATACAAACGAATAGTTTCTACGCGGTTCGACGGGAGCGAAATAGATGTTTGACTGTTTTTATTTTATATCACTTTACAGACGAAGATCTCGAAGCAAACAATTGCCGTCGGCATTTCAACCCAGTCTGACCAAACTTAGCGAAGAAGGATCTCCGTTGAGTTCATCCACAACAAGCTCATCTCTCTCCCTCCACCTCATTGAACCCGAGACTCCAAAACTCCGTTCCGGCACCGTTCAGACTCCTGAAGAATCAATCTTTTCAGATGAGGACATTGATGTTTGCGGGATCAATGTTTCAAATGTGATTTCTACGCAAAATTCAAGTTCCTCATCAGAATCGGCTCGTTCTCCCAAGGGTTTGTGTCGCCCACCGAATCAAGGCGACAATGACAGTCCAGAACAAATGATAGCCGACCCGGTCTCCGACAGCTCATTAAGTGAGGAGAATTCCTATCACGATTTAATGCAATCAAACGAGGGATCGGAGCAGTTCTGCTCGGTAAGTTATAAATCGCATTGCTCTGATGATATTTGCCCATCGAATGTTGTGCTTTAAAACTCATATTTATTTCCACTCCAATTATAGAAACTTGAAGGATAATTCTTTGTGTATATTCACGGATCAGGCTAAATGAATACTTCAATTCTGCGGTGTTTTGATCCATTGATGACATTCGACATTATGAGCAAATGCTTAACAGAACCTAGATCCACTTTGAAGCGCATTTGAAAGGCTATCATCAACGACCTTATCAGCAGTTGACCGGGTATAAAATCTCTGATCAGTGGACTTGGACATACACTTTGCGCTTGGCTTTCTGTTTAGGGACCTCGGGATAGGTCTAGTCGCTGGTTAGAGACACTGGTTAATGTTTATGGATGCCATCAACAGCACCGCTTGTGTACCTCCTGAATTTCAATATAATAATCCTCGACCTGTTCCCAGATTTCTGCTTCTCTTCTCTATTGCTTCATATGAATGGTCAGCGGAAAACAGCCTCCTAGTCTGTTGAGCGACCGTGATATATCGCTGGTTTTATGAACTCAGCTTATACAGAAATCTTAATTGTCCTGGAGGAAGCTGGTAGA